AGGAGAAACTCTACTCAGAATTTAATTCATCATCTATTCTCGTTTTTAAATCTTAGGAAATAAATTACTTCTTCATAAAAAATAAAATTATAAAAAATAATTGTATGTATATATATATAAATGTAACTTTTTAATATGTTACATTTGATACATTTTAATGCATTGCTGTTTTTATATTAGATAAATATCCTACTCAACAGAAAAGCAGGAGACAATCTGTCCCAGTTTACCGTTTTATCTTTTTTTTTAAATAAAAAGTCTTAATAAGCCAGCGAATAACAGTCAAATAAAATTCTGCCGATAAAATCCCTTAATATGCAGATCTAATATATGTGTATGTGTAGGATTTAAACTCGGATCTTTAGCACAGAGAGCAGCCACATAATTCTCTATAGCCTATATCATAATCGCCACATCCACCTAACACATGCATGAAAACACAAAAAGAATAAGTGTTCTTAATGAATAATTATTCATTTATTACATTTATTACACAATGCAAATTATAAATGTAGCCCATGAATTAAATATTGCCGCAATGCTAACTTTTATTATTTTTTTATGTATTTTAATATTTTCAAATAAAATTCAAATTAATCAAAGAATATTGCTATAAAAATTCTAAGTTAGTTAATTTTAATTTATTATTAAGTTTCATAACGTTGAAAGAATTGTTCTATTTTTTTATATACCATTATCATAATATTTTAATAAAGTTTATATATTTTATAAAAAAATTTATTATTATATGTCACATATATTCTCATATATACATATTTATTTTATTTATACATTATATAATATACATTGAATAATTATACATATAAATAATCGTATCATATTAAATACATATGCATTCATATTAAATGCATAAAATAGAGTTGTCATTAGTCAAAAAGATATGCATAAAGTAAAGAAAAATGCGCCTTTCTTATCAGAAATTAGAATCGAAAGTATAATAAATGCCCAACAATGGAATATGGAAGAATAATGTGTGTAAATATTTCCAGCTGATGTTTTTAGTACAGCCATCTAGCGGTACATTATATAACTGATTTTTGTAAAACGTATGATTGCATATGGCCGCGTGAGAGAGTCAAGAGGAGGTTAATCTGCGAAGGAAACAACCTGTGGCACCATAAACCTGGTGCATGACAATGTAATCGCTGGATCCTAGCAAGAAACAACAATAATTTATCAGACATGTGTGCGAGGAAGGACGTAGGGAAAGCACATCTATAGAGAACAATCAGTTAAGTAGCTTCTAATCGCTCTCAATGATGTAGCTGCCATTATCTAGGAAGACGCATAACGGATATCGTTCTGAGGTTAAATCCTGACTAAATATGGCGCAAATACAAATGTCAACGGTAGACGGACTACCGAAGCATTTTGTCAATGCGATGCGCACTTTGTTCGATATAATGGACGATCAAAATACCGGCTTCGTTAAATTTGCTGACATCGAGGGTCGCTGGCAGGACGATGGCACGCAGGGTCTACCCAAGGGTGTGCTGGACAGCCTGAAGAAAGTCACACCGCCGAATGGGATGCTGTCATTCGAAAGATTCTGTGCTGGTCTGAAGATCTGCCTGCTGCAGATACAGGCAGAGGCAGATGCGAAGAAACATGATAGTCAGCCCAACAGGCCGCCATCTGCGCCAATACTCATACCTGACAATCAGAACAAGACGGCCTGGACCTCATCCAACACCGCCGCTATAAGACCAAACAATGCCATATCCCAGCAACGTACCCTCAGTATGCCACAGTTGCTGGCCAATCGCAAGGACATGAACGCACAGTTGGAGCTGATGGATGGAAGGAATATTGGAGAACCGAAGATCAACAAGGTGTATGGTCCACCGAAACCACCACGAACTGGCGCTGCACTGGAAGGTAGAACAATGGGCCTGGAGCGTAACTTGGACAAGTCTGAGATTAGGACTGCACTGCAAAATTGGCAGATGGGTCTCATGATGAGCGATGAGAAAGAAAAGCGTCAGCTGCAAGCTATAAATTATAGACCAGATGCCAGAACATTACTGAGACCAACCAGAGTCCTGGGCGATGGTAAAGCAGTCGATATACAAAGTAATCAACTTGGTCTCCAATCCAAGAAACTGTTGAACCGTCGCAGAGAGCCCAGGCGGCACACGTTGCAGAATGGTATTGATTACAATATGGTAAAGATGTTATCCTCTAGGACTCCCGACTAACCCTTGGTGATTGGTTCTGGGTATGCACTAACTAAATATTAACAGTGATACATATCTCTTAAGAATGAAAGACATGTATCTATAATTTTAATTATTTTTTAATTAATGTAATATATCAACTAAGTAAGAAGCAACTACAGTCAAAGTTAGATATTGGAATAATAATTCTAAATATATTTAAAATGTAAGTTATTTCAAATAATTTACATATAAGAATTATTATTCCAGCCTACCTAACCATGTAGTTGACACTTCTTAGTTAATTTATTATAAATTATATACATATATAATTATAACATACACACGCACAAATACTATTATTTTACATATTATTTTCACTATTTAATATCTTCTTGATATTTCTGAAAAATATTTTCACAATACATAACACTTTCAGATGAAAAGGATGAAACAAATTGAGCAAGAGAAGGATGTATTGCTTCAAGGTCTAGCTGCTGTTGATAAAGCTAGAGAATGGTATTTGAAGCAAATATCAGCCACTCAAGAAAAGATTAAGCACCTCGGACGAATGGGTTCTCACGTGGTACAGAAGATATTTTTTATTCTCTGATCTCATGTAGAATTCTATATAAAATATGTACATTTATATTTCACATAGGAACAATGGACAGAGGCACAGCAAGAGCGTTTGGAATTACAACGCGCACGTGTCTTAGAAGTAAATCGACATCTAGCCGCTTTAATAAGTAGCTGGGAGCGCGGAGGACTTCCCCTTCATATGAATCTCGCATTTCTGAGTGCTCCGACTTCGGCTCAACTTCAACAAGATACGCTATCAAGGCTTAAACAACAGAATCACAGATTAACCGAGGTAATGTACAATAATAATAACAATAATGTGCATTATATATGAATAATGCATTATATACGAAAAACAGCAAATCATTGTAATCTATTTTTTTTTCTATATAACACCAAAACAGGAAGTAAACAAAAAAAGTCAACGAATAGTGTTACTTGAACAAGAAAAAGACAGTCTGGTTAGAGAATTGTATAATAGACAATCGGGTCTGGTTCAATCCCGAAGGGCAACAATGATCCACGAACAACACGATCAAACATTTATGTAAGGTACTAACATTTTAAAACGTATCATGAAAGTGAATAAAAATCAATAATCTCTAATTTCACTTAAAAATTCTTTTCAGAATATGAATATTCCTGGCTTTAGAAAATGTGCCACATATAAATAATAGAGAAAATAAATTAAATAAAATAAAAACAACCAGGAAACTGATGCGACAGAATGGTCGATTAGCTTTGGCAAATGCCATGTCATATAAATTTATCAATACTGCCTGACGTTTCAGCTGAAATACTCTACAATAATGAATCGATAAAATCGTGTCTTGAATTTTCCAGAATGTTTATAATGATATGTAGAATACATTTTTAAAATATTTGATATATTGTATTAAAATAATTATATATATTGTATTAAAATAATTGTCATTACCTTATTAACTTGGTATCTTATATTAAAGATGTAAAATATTCATTAATAGAATATACAATTAAGTACCATTTATAAATATAGTATAAATAAAGTACCTTTACATTTTTGTAATCTATTTTAAAAAGAGCAAAACCTATTTTAAAATAAATTATTTTAATTATGTAATAAATGTGGATAAATGTCTATTTTTTTGTAAATACAATCTTATGTCGGTTAAAATTATAAATGTATAATCTTCTGCATGCAGATTATTTATGCAATAAAACATATGATGCACTATTGATATAACGATTTTGATCTCATTTTGTGAGAAAATTTTATTAAATTTTCTTTGTTTGTAAAGCAGTAAATTTTAGAGGTCTGTCGCCATGACACATTTCATCAATTTCCGGACTTACAGCTGCCAGTGTCAAATGTTATCGAATTCTGAAGACGATAGCATATTATTTATGATAATACGTCATTAAATCTGTTAGTTAAAATCTTGTCCGATAAAGATAATCACTCTCATTGGTACAAGAATTTTATATATATGATTCAAAAACGAAAGTAATGTCATAAATTATCAATGAAATTTATTCTTAATTAAAAATGAATAATTGTATAGCTGACTGGTTTGATCAATTCAACAATTGTCTGCGAAAAATGTCTCAATTCTTTAGAGCTACTTTTTTGTCTCGGGTCCAAAAAGATGCAGTCTTTTTTTCATGACGAAAATAGACACACTATGTTGCAAAGACCGATAATTTCGTAGCATGCACACAGTCGCACAGTGATAGCGGACAAAAGCTGAAGTCGTAAAACTTTATCAGAAAATAAAAAATATATATAAATGTTAAATTATGAGAGAGAAATCATAATAAAGACATTACAAATAATATCTTTATACTACATTTTAAGTAATCATAAAATGCAAATACTAGTTCCTTTCACGTTAGAAAATATTAAATTAACTCCAAAATAATTTCCATAAATATCCTTAAACATTCTTGATTGCGATTCTCTATACATGTTAAAAAAATTTAAATATAATATTTGCCAGAAAAATTTACAAATGGTTAAATTTTTCTTCTCTTACACAGTCTATAATTTTACGAGTGCATATTATATTTTGAATGAACAATTTCAATCTTATTAATAAGCTGTGTTTAATTAATATTACATAAAAATTAAAGAATTGCATGATTTCGTGTCTCAGACACCACTGCGAACATTGGCGGACGTCGAGTTTCACCCCACGCATAGTTCTCCAGCGATTGGACGGTTTCCGCACGATCGTAACTAGTTTAGCAGTCCACGACAGTTAGCTGCCACAAGTCGGCGGATTCGGTCGATTTGACCGCTACATCATCTCTGAACGGTACCGGCGAGCTTCTCCCGTTGCAACATTGACAAGAGAACGCGCGAAGAGAGACCGCACTGACCCCGTGTCCCCTGTGGAGTCTGTCGACCTTTGATACTGGACCAGCGACAAAAGCTTACCAAGAAAACGCTAAGCGGTCGACGATCTCCCCTCTTCTCTTGGATTATCGCCGTTTACGATATCCTTCGTGGAGCTTTTTCACGTTTCTTGTCTCACCTCATCTGGGTACATCATGCTACCAAGATTGACGCTCTCTGTTGCGCTACTCCTCCTAACAATGGGTATGTCATATTAAAATATCAAGTTCAAGTTATAAGTAGAGACATTTTAAATTGCTAGAGATTTTGATAAATATCTCATCAAATATATAAAGTATACAATTAGGTAAACCAGCAACCAAACATACATTTATGTCCGAACATTTACACAATACTGTGTTTTTTTTTTCTCTATTATTAATCTCAAACGTTTTTAAAATAATCTTTATTAATACAATTAAATTATAATATTACAATAAAAAGATCAAGAGAGAGAAATTAATAATAAATCTTGCGTAAAGTGTGCGGTAAGTAGCAAGATTAACCAATTACATGCGCGGATTGCCTGATTTACCTAACAGATAATTTACCAAAAGGTGGAACAATCTGGCCTAAATGCATGATGTAAATGCCAATGTCCCAGTGACTGGACATGTATTTAATGTACACACTTTACGCAAGATTTATTATTAATTTCTCTCTCTCTCTCTTGCTCTTTTTATTGTAATTTATTTAATTTAATTAATAAAGATTATTTTAAAAACGTTTGAGATTAATAATAATATAAAGTTTTGTGTAAATATTCGGACATAAGTGTACGCACGATTACTGATTTACCTTATATTGTATACTTTGTACATTTGATGAGATATTTATCAAAATCTTTAGCATTTTAAATTGTCTTTACTTATAACTGGTGGGAATAATCGACTTTTAGGCCGCGGCCTATACAATAGTCCTTTTTTATCCGGTAAGTTAAACAAAAATACTTATTGTATAAGTCGCGGTCTAAGCGCACGATGTAAACGTAACCATTTACTTTACTTGTGCATTTGATTACACACCAGAGATTATAATAATTAAGATAGTAACAGAGATTATAATAATTAGAAGAATGAACAAAATATACCAATATACTCATCAATATATCAAAAACATTTCTCAGTTAAAAGTTTAGCATTTAATATATCGCTTAACGGTAGTGTCTCAACCGTTTTTTTCTTGTTATTATATTTTATTCTCTGCAATAAAAAATATGATTTTTCTTTAATGTTATTTGTTCCTTTTTTTTAGATAATAATTCTAAAATTTTTCTTTTAACGTTTCACTATAAATCATTGTATCACAAACAAATTTTTAATTTTTAAAGACTATAATATTTCGTGAAATTCGATCTCTTCAGCAAACTTAATCTCCCATAGAATGGGAGTAATGTATGTGTGATAGCAGTAATATATGTATAAAACACACTCTTAGTTTATTTTTTCTGAGTAAGCAAATGATAAACCCATCATACCGATAATGAATAGCGCTCTCAATGATGAACATCCCACACTTGCTTTTATTGCTGATTACGCCGTAATAATAGGCCACATATCGTCTGTAATTAATAATTACTTTTGAATGAATCGAATGAAAAAATACGTGAGCGCAGAATTCGTTTTAAAAACATAAAAAAATTACTGGATATATATCGCTGTAATATATCAGCACATTGGCGAAAAAGAAATCACGAACGTCATGTCATTAGGTCGAGAGTAAATGAATCTAAAAATCGATTAGCCCACGCACGGTATCCTCTATCTCGTGAAACGCTTATCAATTTAGACAAGTGGGAAGTGCAGCCGAGCGCATCCGGCCGCAAACATTCGTCTTCGTTAAAACGCCACTATCTCTCCCCGGGGTAAATAAACCGTAGATATTTCCATTACACTCTGTGGTACATTCACCTAAAAATAATGTAGATAGTTAATAAATGTAGAATCCAATTTAATAGAATCGCATCTATTAATTCTTCTGATAATAAACATTAAAATAATTATTAATAAACACATGTAAAAAAGAGCTTATTCTTATTATTCCTTCTTTATTCTTTTATTTTTGCAGAACTACCAGATATCTTTTTCATTGAAATTTCTTCGACTAATGTACATATAATTGTTTTAAGAAAAAGGCATCCATTATTTATCGCATTATTTTTTATTTAAAATTATTACGGTATATCTTCATATATCACTTAATTTGAAATTGAAATTCTGTTAAAGTTAACTTGTGAAATTGATTGAGAAACAGTATTTTATTTTCTCTATAGATATTGAGCATTAGAAATTCCTTATTTTTAAAATTACTTAAATTACTTGATTACATCAATTATTTGAAAATTATATACCTAATACTTTTATTAAAAAATCGATTCCAATCAAATCAAAACATCTATTTGTTAGAAAGATATCGAAGGTATTGCTCGATCAAATAGCTCAATAGCGTTGTACTTGTTCAACGCAGTCTAATTAACGCCAAATTTCTTTGTCAGGAGTTATGTTGTCGAAGGGATGCGAGTTGGATCAGATGCGATACGGATGCCGCATCTATAATGCACAATGCAGTTGCGGCTACGGCTGCAAATCCGAATACAGATATGACAACAATGATGATTGCAAGTTAGCACTGAAAGGTAATGACAAACGATACTTGCTCTTGAACTGTTAAATTTGTAGAATAATAGACACATTGACAATGTATCTTACACGCTTAAGAATTTTAATTTGTCTCATTGCAGGAAGACGTAGCGACATATGTTCTCGATCGAAACCTTGCCTGAACGAAGGCTCATGTTCTCAAATATCGTCGGAGCCCGGATTTAAATGTCGGTGCGAAGGAACTGGATTTTATGGCACTTACTGCGAGACACGTTAGTACCTTCAATGACAGCGGATAATTCGACTGAACTTTCAGCCTACACAACGCGCTTAAATTTTTTTTAAACATTAAATCTTTACATATTGAATCACTTGAATGATCGAATAAAATTAGAAAATGAAGGGACATTTTGGTAGAATAAAAAATGGTATATTATTAAATATTAAAAAATTCTCGCATTTCTCGAATTTTTCATTCAACATATATAAAGTATATTACGATGATGCAAATGAGACAAAAAAATTAATATGAATAATTGTATGTTACAGCTTGTCCACGATCAGACAATACACTTTTCCGAGGACAATTCCCTTACGAGTGTGTGGTGATCTAACTCGAATCTCTCCTTTTACTTTCATCTGAAATACAAATTTGTCTTAATATGATACATACATACATACAAGGAAAGAAACACGTTTCATAAAACATATTTACACACATCTTTGTACATACATAATAAATATTAAAACACACAATCGTACGCCGTTCCATCTCTCATTTCCATCCCTATTCAGAATATTCTTGGGATCTTCATAACCACAATCTTGGAAATAGCTCGGTAAGTTACACCGCAAAATAACTTTATGGTTTTGAAAGAGCTCTGACGTTTTATAGAAGGTAGATGTATTTCGATGCTTCCACTGTTTATTCATCAATAATTTTACAATATGTATGCACATGATGTGTTGGATCCATGAGTTTTGAGACAAGCGCTTAGTTTGTATCGCTTGTGTTATGTACTTTACCTTATTTACGTTACTTCTCTCATATCTCTACAATAATGCCACACGTACCTCGCTTACCGTTTCAGATGGCAAAACTTATAAAACGTCTTACTTTTTACATATTTTTTTTTATAATTTCCATTGTGTATGTCCACAGAATTAGTAATACACACTAATTTGATTTTACAA